AAATCAGAAACTGGGGGTGGGGGTGGGGCCCAGCACTCTGGTTGCCTGGGGGTGATGCTGGAGGTGTCGCTATAGGCATAGGGCCTGGAGGCTGCCCGCTGGCTCCATGGGTCTGGCCCCTGCCCTGGCCTCTCCTGGCCCCCTCATACACGCGTCTACCTTTGGTGGGGTCTGCACTGGTCAGGGAGGGAATGCCAATGGAAGGAGCCTAGTGGGAGGGCGGGTCCAAGGGACGGTGTGTGACTGGTGAAGGGCTCAAGTCTGGGAGCAGCGGAAGGGGGAGGGGTGCTGCTTCTCTGGGGTTCTCAGGGACACCTCTGGAGCCTGGGTCAGGCAGATATAGTACACATTTCTCAGTGTGAGTGTCTTTTGTCTAGTATCTGAAAATGAACTTCACACTGAAGTTGCTGAGGCCAGTTTGGCCTTCCTGGTCCTCAGTACACACTCACACCCACACCACACCTACATCCACGCTCATACCCTTTTCTTTGGTGGGGAGATAGAGCACCTCCAGGGCTTGTGCCGGAGAGACGCTGGCCAATTCCCCCGTGGTGTGGAGGTTCCCCCAGGGCCCAGCTCTGTCTTCTGCTGTCTGCTGGGCCAGAGGGCCCCCCCGCCTCCCCGTAACTGGTGCCCCTACCCCGTCTCCTCCAGGGTTTCAAAGACACCCTCCACGCCGTGTTTTGCTTGGCTGAGAACGCAGTAGGGCCCAGTGCGACAAGGCCGGATGACATCCACCTGCTGTACTCAGGAAAGTAAGCTGGCGCCTGGCCCCTCACAGGACCCAGGCCCTGCTCCCCGAAACCTGCCGCCCCTCCAGGCCAGGCTGGGCCAGCCCTCGGCAGTTCCTGTTGGGAGGAGCCCTGTGCCAGGAACCCCGGGCAGCCATGAGGCCAGCAGGCTGTTCCCATGCCCAACAGGGGAGTGGGGGCTTTGGGGACAGGGGACCCGCCATCGAGTGGCCCCTGTCCCCCAGGCACCTCCAACCCTCGGGCTCGCCGTGCTTTGTGTGCTTGAAGCCTGTCCCCCGGGAATCCCTGCTTGGGTCCCCAGCTCTCAGGATGCAGTCTTGGGACGCCCTTCTTAGCTGCACAAGGACCCACTTGGAAGTCCTGGCGGGAGCATGGGGAAATAGCCCCCGGGGTTCAGGATGGGAGCGTGTGGTCAGCCACGTGACCTGGAGGCCTCACCCATCCCTGCACCTCCTCTGGGCCTTGACCCACACTGCACCCCACAGCCCTGTCCTGCTATCTTAAAGATGAGGAGACTGAGGCATGG